TGGTCTTTGTCTACTATATATATATATATATATATATATATAGTATAAAATACCTACATACATACTATATATACATACATACATACTCACACGCACATACATACACACAGTATATTTAAAGATTTTTTTAAAAAGGAAGCTAAAACTAATACAAACTAACATAAAGTAAGAAAAAGAAAGAAATCAAAGAGAAAGCTAAAAGTACAAGAAAGGAAGAATATGTAAAAGAAAAATAGAAAAGAAAGAAAAAAGATACAAAGAAATAGCTTCTGGTCTTCTTTACAGCAGTTATAAGTACAATTATAAGATTTCCTCTTAGTCTGTGGTTACAACATAACTCTCTTCTTTCTATATCCTTTCTAATCATAAAAACCATAAATCATAAGTTCATTTTTTTCCTGTTTCATGCAAAAAGTCTATAAGAGGTACAACTAGGTATTATTTGTAAAATAGTATCTAATCAATCACTGGAACCCTGAGTTGCTTTGTTGATTTGTCTGATAGGCTAACATTTATTACATACTGTAGATCTTGCTCTGCACCAGAGTCTGTATCCTAGGGTGCTTAGTCCCAGGTGGTGCAGTGGTGTTAGTGGTGGGATTGGGGAAATGACCACAGGTGTGATGACATCATTGCACTTGTGTCATCATCTGGTTGTCAGTGTGGTTTGTTATGATGCCGCTAGTTAGAAGACCCCTTTGCTCAGAGAAAAGAACGTGTGTAGAGAAAAGTATTGAAGTTAGGAGTGGAGCTTCTAGGAGAAAGTATTCTTGAGGCTGGTGTTTGCATTAAAGAAAATTAAGCTTGGCTTAGGAAGCAACAGTGACAGGAAACCTGAATCACTTAAGTGTATTTACAGCTAAGATCGTGTAGTGTCCTCTCCTCTTTTATGGAGAGGGATGGAGTCAGCTGAGAACCCAAAGTAGGTCAGAGACAGAAGAAAAAGATAATTAAACTGAGAGGGGAAGAAGATGCTGACAGCCATAAGAGATTCAGTCAAACTAATAAGAGGCATGTTACATAGAGACCCCCAAAAAAGTGTTTTGGACAAGGAAAGGAGATAAAAAGGTGAACCATCTTCTTGCAGAGGGCGAGTAGACAGGCCACTGCTTCCTGTCACTCAGGGTTTTTTTGCTACATGCTCTTAAGTTCCTGTCTCTTTGAACTGTGGAATAGGAAGGATGGACGTGCAAACTACTAGATCAACCTTCCAAAGGGATTGGGGCTGCCATGCCCAGTTGCAGTCTTGACTCCACTGAAAGATTCCAGGTTGTAAAAAAAGTTAGTAGGTGAGCAATCACTTCCAGCATCACTTCCCCACCCTGCTGTCTGGGGAAAGCACGAACCATTGCATGAAGGCTATGGTGGCTCTTTCTCCTGCCTTTTCTTCTACTATCGTAGCAGAAAAAGAACTGTTCCTCTAAGCAGAATCAGATGAGTGTGGAGGTTAGAGGGCCATTTCTTCCATGGCCAGCTGAGTATGCTGCAGAGAAGGCTGGCAAGCATGTTGGGACAGCTGTTCTTTCTCTCCAGAGCACCACCCATTCAACCACATTGCCCAGAAAGGGTAGCAAGAAGTAGAAGTCGGAAGAGCACTCCTTGCTCATTTGCATCTTTGCCTTCCAAAAGAGAAGAAGAGAGGAAGCCTTGACTCGTCTTCTGTGCAGGCAAATAATGGTTGTCATTTCCTCTGGTTTGTTCATCTGCCCCTCCTCCTGCTAGAATGCTTCATTTCCAGCATGGCACCCATATGTTCACAGACACTTATCTTAGCACCTGCGAGACTCCACCTGATTTCATTTTTAAAACTGGTTAATTAAAACAGAAAACAAAAGGAAAGGAACAGAAATGGGAGACCAGCATGTTGCAAATCAAAGCACCAGCCTGTAACATCATCTTTATTCCCAAGGATACTTCTGGGTCCCAAATACACCCCAGAGAATTCTTGGAAAATGAAATGGCAGAAGATGGCAGTCTATTGCTTTGTTTGGAAATGATCCCACTTGTCCACAAAAAAGACAAAAGGAAGCTGAACTGGCAAAGAGCAATCTGGGAAACTAAAGGTGGTAAGGATGAACAACCTCATCCATTTGCCTTCTACTAGAGTTGTGCAAAATTTTGATCCAGTCCAGCATGGAGACATCCTGTCCTTCTCCTTGAGGAGTTATTGACAGGTACAGCCAGTTTGGTGTAATGGTGAAGGGACCAGGCTAGAAACCAGGAGACCATGAGTTCGTCCTACCTGAGGCCCAAAGGCCAGTCCCCTTTTCTCAGCCCTGGGTGAGGAGGCAATGGCAAACCACTTCTGAAATCTTGTCAAGAAAACTGCAGGGACTACTCCAGGCAATCGCCAGGAATCAAGACTGATTCAAAGGCACCAAAACCAAAACAAAACACCAGCCAGCATGCTCATACAAGATCTGAAACAGCCCTCTTGTCTTGGGTCTGAATACTGCCCCTTCTACCATAGGCTTTTTATGATTGGGTGTGCATAAAGATGGCAGTCTTCTTGTGAGAATGCCTATGCCACACTTTCAAGATTGCAAATCTTTCTACCAGCCCCCAAAGGTGGAGGAACTCTGCTTTACTTCCTTGCACATTCTATTTCTTGGGTGATGCAATGGAAGAATGTATCAGCAAAAAAAAAGCCACCACTTTTGCTTGTTTGCTCATCTTTGGTCAATGATGGGTACAGTGGATAGGATATTTGGGATCAATTGCAGCATTACTGTATGTAACTCAGTGATGGAAATTGCATTGATCTGCAGACTGCATAAGTCACAGGATTTTTTTTACCATGATTCATGGAATAAAACACAACTGACTTTGTTAATAGACCAATAGTATGGTATATTTCAAGATAGAACCGTCAGCCCTCTGTTCTTTTAGCCTTTTGTGAAAGCTTTTTGTCTTTCCTTCTCCAACCCTGTCTTCTCTCAGCATTAATAGCAGTTGTGGTCATACAACAGATTTTTGTTGTGCGTATATTTATTTAGGGAGGGTTACAATCCACAAAAATAAGACTAATAAAACCAAGTAAAATAATACATTTATTAGAAAACATACTGTAAAACACACAGTAATGAAGAAAAAACACTAGACAGCCTTTAAAATGTAATGAGACTGTGAAGTCTCGAAATTAAAAAAAGAACATTGCAAAGACTGGGTGTCACAACAGAGAAGAGCCTTGACTCTCTCTTAAATTATTTCATATGCCTTTCCCAGCTGTGGGACACTGTGAAGGCCCATCCCTGCAGATCTGAATGTTCAGTGGGTATGCACTTGGACAGGCTAAACCATTAATGGTTTTAAACATTGTTATAGATCTTTGACATTCAGCTGCTAAGCTCTAGGTAGTCCGTGTAGTTGTAGAGCAACAGTGACAAGTGCTCTTCAAACGGTGCTCTGCATAAGACTTGCAGCCATGTTCAGCATTAGCTGCAATTTCCCTGTGATCTTCAAGAGGAGATCCCCACAGAACACACGGCCGTTGTCAAAACTGGAGCACGGAGGACCTTTCTCTATGCAAGAAAGGGCACGGCCACTGTTTGCAGCTAGCCATAATGACGAAACGTGTGTTGTGATCTCACAATGCAAGTTCATCCTTTTGTACTTGTCAGACATTGCATCTAAGGGACAGTTTGCATGACAAAGTTGCAATGCTCTTTCTCCCAGCCAAGGGTGCTAAGATGGCATCCAGATTGGTGTGATTGGAGATTCCACCTGTTTTTGATGTCAATCACACCATCATGGCTGCCACATTGATTGTTGGACCATATCCCACAAATACCCCTGCTCCTGGCCCAAAAGTAATTGCCCATGAAAACAGGCAGTCTCTCTCAAGTCAGGTTCAAGTCCTGTTGACTATCTAGACATTGCTTTCCTTGGGCATTAAAAAAAAAAATCATAGTCTAACTTGGAATTAGGAATTCCTTGAAGGTCCCTCATCCAAGTGCTAGGCCCTTTGCTTCACTTTTTTGAGGGCAACCAAAGTCAGCTAAATTCAGCCACCTAAACCCAGTTCGGTGTAGTGGTTAAGGCATCAGGCTAGAAACGGTCATGAAACTAACTGGGTGACCTTGGGCCAGTCACTCTCTCACAGCCCTAGGAAGGACACAATGGCAAACCACTTCCAAAAAAACGTGCCAAGAAAACTGCAGGGACTAGTCCAGGCAGTCGCC